GAAGAAACAACAGGTGTTGGCAAGGATGTGGAGAAAAAGGAACCCTCACACACTGTTGGTAGGAATGCAAATTGGTACAGCCACTTTGGAAAACAGTCGGGAGGTTCTTCAAAAAATTAAAAATAGAACTACCATATGATCCAGGAATTCCACTACTGGTATCTATCGAAAGAAAGCAAAAACTCAAAAAAAAAATAAAAAAAAATAAAAAAAAAATAAAAAAAAGAAAGCAAAAACTCTAATTTAAAAAGACACATGCAGGCAGCCCGGGTAGCTCAGCGGTTTAGCACCTGCCTTTGGCCCAGGGCACGATCCTGGAGTCCCAGGATCAAGTCCCACGTCAGGCTCCCTGCATGGAGCCTGCTTCTCCCTCTGCCTGTGTCTCTGCCTCTCTCTCTCTCTCTCTCTCTCTCGATCATGAATAAATACATCTTTTTTTCTTTTTTTAAAAAAGGGGGGATCCCTGGGTGGCTCAGCGGTTTAGCGCCTGCCTTTGGCCCAGGGCGCGATCCTGGGGTCCCAGGATCGAGTCCCACGCCGGGCTCCTGGCATGGAGCCTGCTTCTCCCTCCTTTTTTTCTTTTAAATTTTATTTATTTATGATAGTCACACAGAGAGAGAGAAAGAGGCAGAGACACAGGCAGAGGGAGAAGCAGGCTCCATGCACCGGGAGCCCGACGTGGGATTTGATCCTGGGTCTCCAGGATCGTGCCCTGGGCCAAAGGCAGACGCCAAACCCCTGCGCGACCCAGGGATCCCTTCTCCCTCCTCCTGTGTCTCTGTCTATGTCTCTCTCTCTCTCTCTCTCTCTTGTCTATCATGAATAAATAAATAAATAAATCTTTTAAAATAAATAAATAAATAAAAATAAAAAGACACATACATTCCTATGTTTACTGCAGCATTATTTACAATAGCTAAGATATAGGAGTAACCCAAGTATCCATTGATAAAGATGACAAAGAAGGATAAAGAAGACACAGGTCCTGCGTTGGGCTCCTTGCTCAGCAGGGCATCTGCTTCTCCCTCTGCCTCTCTCCCTGCTTTTATGCTCCTATTCTCTCTCTGTCAAATAAAATCTTTTTAAAAAAGAAGGATAGGGGATCCCTGGGTGGCTCAGTGGTTTAGCGTTGCCTTCAGCCCAGGGTGTGATCCTGGAGTCTCGGGATCGAGTCTCACGTCCGGCTCCCTGCATGGAGCCTGCTTCTCCCTCTGCCTATGTTTCTGCCTCTCTCTCTCTCTCTCTCTGTGTGTGTGTGTGTGTGTGTGTGTGTGTGTCTTTCATGAATGAATAAAATCTTTAAAAAAAAAAAAGGAAAAAAGTGTCACGAATGCTGTAAATATTTGTGTAAATACATATCTTGTAATATAAAAGCCTGTAATGAATGGGTGCGGCAAATGGGAAGTGTTTACCTTGTTACTGTCATTTGAGCATTCTGGACTCTTAAATTTGAGTATTGAGAGTCCATTTTGGATTTACCAGGAGGCTGATGAAGCTTAAGCTTAGATCTGCTTCCTAGCAGGGGCATAACATGGTAGAATGTTCTGGAACAGAGGAAAGGCCAGGGTTGTCACCAAGACGTGTGTCCGATTAATTGCTTAAAGAAAAACCAAAAGCACGGTCATCAATCTGCAAGCACAGCTAGTTTGATGTGACTTAATTGTCTCACTCTGAATATTTATTTTCATTCTTTTTAAAGAGTTATTTATTCATGAGACAGAGAGAGATAGAGAGAGAGAGAGAGAGAGAGAGAGAGAGAAGACATAGGCAGAGGGAGAAGCAGGCTCTTTGCAGGAGCCCAATTCAGGACTCGATCCCAGATCCCGTGATCACGCCCTGGGCCGAAGGAACTGCCCAACCGCTGAGCCACCCAGGTGTCCCTGAATATTTATTTTCATAAATAGTTTGTATTCATAATTTTATATTGAAATGTAGCCCTACAAAACGTGGATCTGCCCCTGATTTCTGAGGTCTAGAATGGTTCTTTGTTCTTCTAGAACTTGGCCCCAGGTGCACCTGGGTGGCACAGTTTGTTGAGCATCTGACTCTTGATTTCGGCTAAGGTCATGATCTCAGGGTCCTGAGATAGAGCCCCGTATCAGTTTCCTTGCTCAGCGCAGAGTCTGTTTGTCCCTCTTCCACCCCCCTTGTTCTCTCTCTCTCTCTCTCTAAAATAAATAAGATCTTAAAAAAAAGAACTTGGTCCCATTCCCCCTCAGGTTTGTAATATACCAAGCACTATGGCAGGTGGCTCTGGACCCCACCTCCACAATAGAACTGGCAGTGGCACATATTCAGCTTGGAAACTCTTTCCTTTACCAGCCAGCCAGGGATCCCTGCCTCACAAAGTAGACTCCTGAGGCCAGCCACCGGGCCCCTGCTCCCTGCTGCTCAGCAATGGACCTCAGATGACAAGACACTGCATGTACACTTGGGCGTACCCACTATTGCCTTTCTCATGCTCCTGAAACCATTCAAAGTTTCATTATACCTGCTTGAAGTGCCTGGGGCTTTGCTAGGGCCTCTTACAACCCAGAGTGAAACTAGTTGCTCATTGGGAACCCTCAGTGGGTGGTAGCTTCTCTTCCACATCACATGCCCAGGCAGCTCCCTGCAGAGCAGTCACTGGCTGTGGCAGGGACACACATGCGCGTGTTCACACTTGCAGGTACTCAGTACCCCAGAGACACAGCCACGCTGGTAAGTGGCCAGGCGAGAAGTAAAACCAAGGGGAAAAACACCATTGGCTGGGTTGGTTCTTTTCTGAGACATCTATTGCAACCTGGTATGTTTTTTAAAAGTAAATACAGGGGATCCCTGGGTGGCTCAGCGGTTTGGCGCCTGCCTTTGGCCTGGAGCGCGATCCTGAGTCCCGGGATCCAGTCCCGCGTCCCGCGTCAGGCTCCCGGGATGGAGCCTGCTTCTCCCTCTGCCTGTGTCTCTGCCTCTCTCTCTCTCTCTCTCTCTCTCTCTGTCTATCATGAATAAATAAATAAAATCTTTAAAAAAATAAAAAAATAAAAATACAACCGCATGTTGATGTTTCAGGTAGCAGGTAGCTGCACATGTTGGGGAAGCCCCCCTCTGTCCCACCACTGTCTCCAGAATGGTCATCCCAAGGCATGATGAGGAGGGTTCTGCAGAGCTGCAGATTTTTCCAGACATTCCCTACAGGCTATGTTCCTTCCCATCCTATTACGGAGAAACCAGGGAGAGACTCATTGGCAGAGTGTGGGCTTCAGAGGCAGAGCATAGCAATTTGTAAATGTTTTTTTTTTTTTTTTTTAAATTTTTTTTTTTTTATTTATTTATGATAGGCACACAGTGAGAGAGAGAGAGGCAGAGACATAGGCAGAGGGAGAAGCAGGCTCCATACACCGGGAGCCCGACGTGGGATTCGATCCCGGGTCTCCAGGATCGTGCCCTGGGCCAAAGGCAGGCGCCAAACCGCTGCGCCACCCAGGGATCCCAATTTGTAAATGTTTATTAAAGAAGTCGTCCTTGGCAACCAGCTCTTTATCCTCACTCATGGAAAGGAGATTTGACCTCTCTAAACAAACTGACGCCGGGGATGGGGAGACCATGTAGAGTTTCCCAGACAGCTCAGTGCTCTGGTCATTGGATCATTTCACCCATTGGTTTATGAGAGACACAGGAGCCTTTTCTCCAACCAAGCATGATAACCATAGTTAGATTCAAGCATGGGATCATAGCAGAGAGGGCATCATAAAAGCTGGCCAGCAGGCACGATGTGGGCCAAGTTGAAGATCACAAAATGCCCCTGAGTAAAGCAGCCTCCCTCCCCCATAGAAAAAGCCCACACTGCCCTGCACTCCCTTCAGGAACACCTGAAGAGGTGCCTGCAGGTGTTCCGTAGAGGAGGCCCAGCTCAGACCTTCTGGGCAGCTCTTGCCCATCCCTGCTGGGAAACCAGCCTCTCACCACAGGCCTGGAACCTCACCCAGCTGGGCATGCCTCCGCTCTCTGTCAGGGCTCCAGGCGGGGGGAGGCACCTGGTTCATGTTTCCTGGAATGCCTGATCCTGTGAGTCACTGGCCTAAGCTCCGATCCTCCCTGACCACTTGTATTATAGCTTGGAGTCAAGTCATTGAGAGTCACAGGGTTGAGGACCCAGATGGGACTCAGAAGGAAGAAGTGGCAAAAATGACCCAAAGGAGGAAAGAGGCCTCGGGTTGATCAGTTCTTATAGAGGTCAAACCTGTATGGATGCTCTTATTTACCAGGGAAAAGAAGCCTGCTCAGTGGGTGCCCAACACAAAGTCCTTGACCCAACGAGGGAACTTGACATTATGTGGTGGGTGTAAGCTTGGGTTGGGTTACCTGCCCCTGCTCCACATGCTCCTGGCAGATCAGGAGAGCAGTCTTTCATTCTTAGGATCAGGGAAAGCAAGCCAGCATGCTCTCTCTGCTCTCCACACTCTCCCCCACATTTGTCCTCAGGGTACACAGGCTTTGGTAGAGCAGATATTCTAAGTGACATTAGGGATTAGGGGTAGGAGTTGAGGCCAAGGGATTCTGTACAGCTGTGATCCAGTCACATCACCTGTTCATTAGCTCATGATATTTATTGAGCAGCCACCACATGCTGAGTTCCCTGGGGATACAGAGGTACACTCAGCCCTAACCCTGCCCTCCAGGACCTTCCAATCCAACCAGCTGGGCCCAAGAGAGCACTGGGAGGCTCACCTCCTGTCTTAACATTGATTCCTTTGACAGTGCCCACAGCTGCCCATATCTCACCATCCACATCAATGCCGAGGACACCATGGGTTTTTGTGACATAGTTGTACCCTAGTGAACACCCCCACCCTGTCAGCTCCGCTGTCCCTTGCTCCTGGTTCCTTGCTCAGCATGTTGGACTGGGGATGGTTGGGAGTCCCAACCTCCCTCGAATGCTCAGTGAATCCCTGTGAAACAGAAACATGACCAGCAGGCCTCAGGTGCTCCTGCCTTCTCCTGGGCACCTATGACTGGGGTCCACAGGCCCCTCCCTGAGTATCTTCAGACTCCCCTTGCTTCTAGGCACAGGGAAAAGCAGTCTGAAGAACAAGTGGCTTCCAGGAATCTGTCCTGACAAGGAGCAGGGAGCAGTCTGCAAGAGAAAATGAGGAAAGGTGTTTCCTATTCCTGTACTTGCTGTTATCTGCAAGCAAATTGAATTTCTGCTGCTCTGGGACATAGGCCCTGCTCACCTCACATTGGCACTGACTCTGTTGGGTGCAACCCCTCCAAAGCATCAAGCTTTCTTGAGGCCACAGGGCACCCTCCTTCTGATCCCACCCCTTCATCACCCCAAGCCCCCCTAGACTGGTGTGTGGTACACAGGTGGTCACTTAATGCTCGGGGAAATAAAGTCCTCCCCAAGGTGATCTCACAATGCCTCCACCCCCAGCAACAGAGAGCCCTGGCTGCACCCTGTCCCTATAAATGAAAGCACTGGATAGGAGAGCCCAGGAGTGGAGGTGATGGCTGCCCAGCCCGCAGAGTCCCTCGGGTCATTGCTGTTGTCGGTCCAGAGGTTCCCAAGCTGAACCAGTAAGGGGGCAGGCACTAGAAGGCCTGGGAAGCAGTGACCAGTCAGCATAGATGGCTGCACCTGGCTCAGGTGAGCTCCTGGGCCAGCCTTTGGGTTGGTGCCAGTGCTGCGGCAGGTGTGCCGGCTGCCCAAACACAGCTGGCCCAGCTCTAGAGCCACTTCCAGCAGCTGAGGAGGGGAGCTTCTTCCTCCCCTTGCAGCCACCTGCCCCCTTCTCCAACCCAGACACACCCACATTGAGGTGAGGCTGGGCCACTCTCATTCCCTGGAGCTGAGCCCGTGTAGCCTTCAGCCTGCCACACAGATCACAAACATCCAGGTTCCAGCCTGGTTGTGGGTGCTGAGCTGGTCCCTCGGGGTGGAAACAGCAGCTGACACCACGAGTTTCCTTGGTCCGCCCAGCGCTCCGGGTGTCTTGCAGTCTGCAGGGTCGGGGGACCGGCTGGGGGCTACCAGGGCCTCCAGAAGCCGGGGCCGCGGGGAGGCGCGGGCGGCGCGGGGGCAGGTGGGGGCGGCGGGGAGGGCATGGGCGGGCCGCAGGGGTCCCCAGCGCGCCCGACGTCTGGGGCGGGGCCGCTCGCCCTCCCTCGCAAGTGCTCCAGCAGCCGAGCGCTCACCGCGGGCTCCAGGACGCGGCAGGCGGGCAGCACGCGGGCCAGGCGTGCCAGGCAGGCGCGGTAGCCCTCTCCGTAGCCGTCCGAGGGCGCTGCGGACCGAGAGAGGGGTGAGTGCAGGGCGGCGCGAGGCGTCGGGCGGGGGCGGGGGCGGGGGCGGGGGCGGGTCACTCACCCGGCGGGCGGGCCGCGCGGTAGGACGCAGGCAGCTCCCGCAGGAAGCGCACGGTCATTTCCAGGATGTCCGCCTTCTCCAGCTTCGAGTAATGGGAGCTCTGCGCCCGGCCACGAGGGACAAACGAGACAGATCTCCAGCAGACTGCCGTGAGCACCGCTCTCCTGCCTGGGTGTCGGGCTCCCGTGGCCGGGGTGGAGCGGCTCCTCGTGCCAGCCCCACGCGGCCTCGGCCTCCGGCGCCGCGCAGAGCCCCCTCGCCGGCTCCTTGCGCAAGGGCCCCTCAGCCCACCCGGCTTGCTCGATCTGCGCCCCGGAGGTCCCACCCAGGCCCCGGAGCGCCCCGGCACGCACCTCCCTGCCCAGCAGCGGCAGGATGAGCCCCTTGAGCTGTCTCAGGCTCGCGTTGATGCGCGCGCGCCGGCGCTTCTCCAGCAGTGGCTTCAGGCTCTGCGGACAGGCGCGGAGGCCGAGGTTACGCGGGTCACAGTCCGGTCCCGCCCCGGCCGCTCAGCCCTCTGTCCCCAGCTCCTACCTTGCGCAGCTCCGCCGGGTCCCCCGCTCTCCGAGGCACCCCCATGCTCGGCGGGGAAGCGGCACCCTGCGGGCCCTGCTCTGGAGAGACCTGTGCCCACGCGGACGCGAAGCGCAACCCCCGGCCCGAGGGGATGGCCGGCGCGCTGTGGGAGCCAGCGCCCGAGGGGTGCGCACCACGCCAGCGGCCGGGCTTTAAGGAGGCGGTGTCGCCCTGCCGGCCCCGCCCCGTCCCTCCCCACGGAGTCTGGCCGCCTGCGGGTCCCACCTCCAGCCTTTGTTCCTTCGCTGGATAGGGGCGGGAGGGGGACGGCCGGGCCCCCGGGGTACTACTCTTGGCCTTCGCATCCCATCTGCGGCGGGATCGCGCGCCGGGGGCGCACCCCAGCACCTGCATCGAAGCCTTGGCTGCGGTGAGCTCCGTCTGCAGTTCCTCTTCGACCAGCGCCGCCCTTCGTGCTCAGCGCCTCCCCTGAGCCCCGCCCTAGGCCGGGAAAGCCCCCGAGCCTCAGGGAGCCCCCACGTAGGTTTCTAACCACGGGGAAGGAAAGGCTGAGCTGGAAGAGGACGCCGAGGCCCGAGTAAAGTGTGACCTAGGCGCTGGGAACTGGCTGGTCGCTGAACTGCCTGTCCTGGTTCTAGTAACTCCATAGAACCATATATATCCTTCTATATATATATGTATATATATTAAGACTTTATTTATTTACCCACAAGAGACAGAGAGAGAGAGACAGAGACACAGGGAGAAGCAGGCCCCATGCAGGGAGCCCGACGTGGGACTCATCCCAGGTCTCCAGGATCACGCCCTTGCCTGAAGGCGGCGCTAAACCGCTGCGCCACCCGGGCCCTCCATAGAACCTTTTAGTGGCTCACCAAGTTAGGAATTACCGGGTTCTCCCGTGCTCGGTTTTATTTTTTTTTAATTTTTATTTATTTATGATAGTCACACACACAGAGAGAGAGGCAGAGACTCAGGCAGGGGGAGAAGCAGGCTCCATGCACCGGGAGCCCGACGTGGGATCTGATCCCGGGTCTCCAGGATCGCGCCCTGGGCCAAAGGCAGGCGCTAAACCGCTGCGCCACCCAGGGATCTCCCCGTGCTCGGTTTTAGATGGGCAAACTGAGACCCAGGGAAGATGAGGCAGTCCTGGATCCCTGGGCTCGTTTTCATTTCAACTGGATCCAGCTGTGGACAGTTGGAGTTCACGTGACGAGCGGGGCTGGGCGGTCTTGGGTGCCGGCTCCCCGCTGCCAGCCTCGGCCCCGGCGGTGCGCAGGGCCCGCCTCCGCACCGCGTGGCCGTTGCTGTATCAAACTGGCTGGGCGTCCCCCGCCCATCTGCTCCGGGCTGCCCTCCCCCAACCGGCTGGCAGGGCAACGGATTGCAGGGCGTCGGGGCTGCTGACTGCAGGCCGAGCAGTGGGCGGGCGGTGGGCGGGGCCTCACCGGAGGCGCTGTCCAGGGTGCTGGGTGGGTCCCCCGACTCACTCGTACTCCGAGCCACACCCCGCCGCCCGCTCGGTCCCCTTACCCCATGCCCCGCAGCAGGGCCTCATAAAACCAGTATGGCCATCAGGAAGGGGCCCGGAGCAGTCGGGGTGACGGGAGCTCAGGCCACCCATCCCCATCTTGTCACTCAAAGGACCAACTGGCCACCATTTATGGAGCACACTGTGTGCCAAGCACCTGTTACCCTCACCTCCATTAACTCCCATAACAGTCCTAATTATGAGAACGAAACATTCAACACATTTGACCCAGTAAGGCCTGGGAATGCCTGAGCCCCTGTCCCCCCTGGCATCATTGAGCCCAGAGTACCTATGGGCCAGCCTCCCCCAAGGTCATGAATTGTTCTTTAAAGGCTGAGAAAAGGACTTTACAGGGCACCTGGGTGACTCAGTGGTTGAGCATCTGCCCTCAGCTCAGATCATGATCCCTGGATCCTGGGATTGAGCCCTGCATTGGGCTCCTCTCAGGGAGCCTGCTTCTCCCTCTGCCTATGTCTCTGTGTTTCTCTGTGTGTCTTTCATAAATAAATAAATAAAATGGTTTTTAAAAAAACAAAAAGGATTTTACAGATTCCTTGGTGGATCACTGATGCCTCACATGTCCCCCCTCACCACATACACCAGTTGACTCAGCTCTGTGCCCACAAGACCACCCTATACCAACGTCTGCATCTTTGCTGAGAAGCCCTCATGCTAGCTCATGGGGGAATGATCTAGGGAGGAAAATTCCTCCTAGAACATCCCTCTCCATGCCTGTGGACCACTGTTGACTCCAAATTTTAAATTTCTTCTCCATTTTTCCCATTGCTGTGAAGGACTTTGACCAGGTGGCTCCACCTTTCCCTTCAATCAAAGGATTCTGTAGGGTTTGTTTGTTTGTTTGTTTGTTTAAGATTTTATTTAGGAACGCCTGGGTGGCTCAGCGGTTGAGCATCTGCCTTTGGCTCAGGGCTTTAATCCAGGATCTGGGATGGAGTCCCTTATCGGACTCTCTGCGGGGAGCCTGCTTTTCCTTTTACCTGTGTTTCTGCCTCTCTCTGTGTGTCTCTCATGAATAAATAAATTTCTAAAAAAAATAAAGATTTTATTTATTCATGAGAGACCCACAGAGAGAGACAGAGACACAGGCAGAGGGAGAAGCAGGCTCCCTTTGGGGAACCCGATGCCGGACTTGATCCCAGGACCCCAGGATCACGATCTGAGCCATCCAGGTGCCCCAGATTCTGTAGGTTTTGCTGGTTACCTAGAGGAAGCAGTTTGTTTATAACCAGGGAAACAGGTAAGACCACCAAGTGAGCAGAGCATGGGGGTGCAGGCTTTAGGGAAGGGTACAGTGGGGACACACTCCACCCTGGTCCTTGCCCTTGGGTGGGAGAGATCTGAATGGGTCAGGTGAATGGCCTGAGCCCAGCAGGGGGATGAGAGGAGGAGGCCTCCTGGTGGGGAGGAAACTGACATCTGGAGGAGACAGTGGAGGTGCTTTAAGCATTTGTGTCACCTTAGGCAAGATACATTAAAAATAGAAACAGGGATGCCTCAGTGGCTCAGTAGTTGAGCATCTGCCTTTGGCTCAGGTCATGATCTTAGGGTCCTGGGATCGAATCCCACATCAGACACCCAATGGGGAGCCTGCTTCTCCCTCTGCCTATGTCTCTGCCTCTCTGTGTCTCTCATGAATAAATAAATAAAATATTTTTTTTAAAAAAAAAGAAAGAAACAGGGATCCCTGGGTGGCGCAGCGGTTTGGCACCTGCCTTTGACCCAGGGCGCGATCCTGGAGACCCGGGATCGAGTCCCACGTCGGGCTCCTGGTGCATGGAGCCTGCTTCTCCCTCTGCCTGTGTCTCTGCCTCTCTCTCTCTCTCTCTGTGAGAGATTTACTATCATAAATACATAAAAATTTATAAAATTAAAAAAATAAAATAAAAAAAGAAAGAAACAAATCTCCTGGTGCCTCAGTTTCCCCAGCTGCAAAATGGGGATAGTGTGTACCTCTCTCAAAGTGTCCCTGTGGAGATTAAATATGCAAGTGAAGGTGAAATAATTGTCTTTCCCTGTGGCCATTTGTATTCTGTGCTAAACGAAGCATGGACCACAGAAACTGAGGAGCAGACAGGGTGGACACGCTACAAATGCAATTCAAGTAATGAAGTAAGGAAATTTTTAAAAATATTTTATTTATTCATTTACGAGAGACACATAGAGGCAGAGACACAGGCAGAGGAAGAAGCAGGCTCCCTGTGAGAATCTGATGTAGGACTCGATTCCAGGACCAAGTTCATGACCTGCACCAAAGGCAGACACTCAACCACTGAGCCACTCAGGTGTCCCTGAAGTAAGGAAATTAAGTGAAGACTCATCTGAAATTAAGAAGGAATGGACAGCTTCATCACAGGTAAATATACCTCCATCTTGTCATCCACCCAAAGCAGATCCTGCTGTCAAGAAGGCAGCCTCCGAACCCATCCTGGACCCACAGCAAATCCAAGCATTTGATCAGCTTCATCGTCTCCACCAAGGAAGTTCTGGGCTGGTTCTCCACACAAACTCCCCTAGAATCACAGCAGTGAGAACTGCAAGTCATGTTGGTGGCTCCCAGGGTGGCCCTGCTTTTAACAGCATCTTCTGGGATGAGAACTTCCAGCTGTAGTTCATTGCCTCACCTGTGACCAAGCACTGAGCCCTCTCTGGGGCCTGGTGCTGGAGACCAGAGACAATCCTAAGGCACCCGGGGAGGGACCCTCCTATGACTGGCTTGGCCCTCTCTGCCTCCCCAGCTTCTGAGCAGAGGTTCTGACGTGGTGGACTTTCTCCATGCTGCTCACAGGTGACCTCTATGGAGATGTCTGTATCCACAGTGGGATAGGCTTGGGCATCTCCTCTGCCTTGCAGCCATAGCAGTAGCTCATCACCCCATCTGGCCCTCAAGTGACAAAACCATTTGATACATGAGGGTGTCCAGAACCAGGGGAGCCATGTTGGGAATAAAGACCATGAATTGGAAGAATTTTTAGTCACAGAGGAGGCACAGCTGAAGGGCACCAACGACAAGCGGTTTTAGCTCTTTCTCACAGCACCCCTACCACTTACAGGCCCTACAGTGTACCTGTCACTGGGTGTGCTAGAAGAAGGACAGCTTTAGTGGGCATCAAAAGCCAGCTGAAGCATGGAGGCTGCAGGGATAAGATTCCTCCCTACCCCTGTCCACAAATCACTGGGTTGGGGTCCCTCAGCCCAGTCGTCCTAAGTCCCATGGAGGGAGCAAGGCGGTTCTGCCCTTTGGAAGTGGGCAGAAACCCACCAGTCCATGCAGGCACAGCAGCTCCGTTTAGTGTACTCGTTTAGTCGGACACCTTGCAGCCTTGGAGGTAATTGTGCACAGCGCCACCAAGTGGCGGCCCCCGAGGCCCGCACTAACACTCCCAGGGTCCCTGGAAACAGGTTCATACTCTAGCATTTCTACAGCTTAGGGCCTTCCTGAGCTGGGCCTAGCTTGGTGCTGGGTGAAACAGCCCAGGGCCAACACCTCACAGGGCTCCCCTGGGGAGGTGGGGGAGGGGAAGAGATAGGAAAGGAAGGACAGACCGTTTCAACTTCACCAGTGGTACTGAATGTGCTCTCACAGCTTCGCTGCCCCTGCCTTCTGGCAGCTGGTCCTTCTGTCCAGCGGCCAAGCCTCCCTCCAGCTCCCACGAATGGCTTCCGGCTCTGAAGGTAGGCTGGTTTGGCGCCCGTGGGTCCTCCTGGCCTGCTGCCATCCTGGAACCTTTGTGAGCCCTCAGGGAAGGGTCCTGGCCCTGCTCTCCCAGTGACTGCTCTGGTGTATGGTGCATCTCCTCACTGCCCCCCCCCCCTTGCATTCCTGCTTTCCCTTCTATCTGTCAGCACCGGCGCTCAAGCTCCGCGTTGATTCCGCCCACCCTAGACAGAGGCTCTGGGAATCTCCGAGCCCCCTGGCCTCTGGACCCAGAAACCTGAGTACCCCAGGCATTCCTGCCTTTCCTCCTCTTTCTCCTGCTTCCAGGAAGCTCGGAGGACTGTTCTTGGGGCCTGGAGGAGCCCCAGAAGGCTGAGGGCCCAGCTCCTGTTGCACCCACTTTGGCACAGACCCAGAACCCCTCAGGGGCCTGTTCCTGCCCCAGGGTCTTTGCCCTTGCAGCCTGGCCCGTTTACCACCCACAGCCCAGCCTACAACACCTCCTCAGAGGACCTTTCCCTGACCACCCCGCCCACCCCCCGTGGCCCCTACGACTCCCTTCCTAACCCCGTATTCCAGCTCTGGTGACACTGGTCACTCTCCGGAAGGGCGATAATTGTCTGGGGCTTGTGTCCCCAGCGCCTGGAACAGCATGGAGTGGGCACTGAGTCGATGAATTACTTCGAGGGCTCTGCTCGCCAGTACCTGGAAGGTTCTCAGATCCGAACCGTTTGGCCTCCCTCCGGGGTCTCTACATGTGAGCTCAACCAGGAGCCGAGTCCCTGGGCGCACCTCCCGCTGTGTAGCGGAGCTGCGCGCGGCCACCCAGCCCGCGGGGCGGCGGGGGCGGGGCCGGGGTGGGCGGGGGGTGGGCCCCAGGCTTAAGCCCGGCTTGCGCCAGCCCCCCCCCCCCCCCCCCGCCACCAGCCCCAGAGCGCGGCGGAGGCGGAGCGGAGCGGGCGAGGCGGCGCGGGGCAGGGACCGGGCAGGCAGCCGCTCCGCCTCCCGGAGCGCAGGGCCCCGACGGCCGCGCCGCGGGCTCTCCCGCCGCCCGAGGACAGGTGCATGGCGCCTGGGGGAACGCGCTGAGCGGGCGGCGGCGCCGCGGGCGGCACCATGGCCCTGGAGCGGGCGCTGCAGGCGGCGCGGCAGGGTGAGCTGGACGTGCTGAAGTCCCTGCACGCCGCCGGCCTGCTAAAGCCCTCGCTGCGCGACCCGCTGGACGCGCTGCCGGTGCACCACGCTGCCCGCGCCGGCAAGCTGCACTGTCTGCGCTTCCTGGTGGAGGAGGCCGCCCTGCCCGCTGCGGCCCGCGCGCGCAACGGCGCCACGCCGGCCCACGACGCCGCCGCCACCGGCCACCTCGCCTGCCTGCAGTGGTTGCTCTTGCAGGGCGGCTGCGGAGTGCAGGTGGGTCTGCGCCGCTCACGGGGCGCCCTGCGGCTTCCTCCCCGGGGGGTGGGGGTAGCTCTGGCCCAGAGCCCCCGTGACTCAAAGGGGTGGGGGGTGAGATGGGGCACCTCCCGACTGAGCTGGATTTTGAGCTCCTAACAGCGGGTTTGGGGGGGTTGGGCTCCCCAAGTCTAATGCACCCAGGGAAGACGCCCTGGCAAGCCAGGGCCACTGCCTAGAAGAGCATCGCGTAATGGGGAGCCAGAGGGAGTTGGGTTTACCTGGGCTGGTATTTAAGCAGGGACTGGAGTGGAGAGTGTGTGTGGCGGGGGTGGGGGGTGCGGGTGGGGACAGGACGGAACACTGATCCAGGGAAGTCCTGGAGAATGGGCAGCCACAGAATCAGAAGCCCAGGTCTTCTGGGATCAGGTCTGCAAGAGGGGA